AGGGAGCCCATTTAAATGGCAGCCCAGCATGCAGAGGACACCCATTGCAAAGCTTCTGAAGGAAGATGGTGCATTCCTCAGCACATTTCTTCATACCTCATTGAAGGGAGTATCCTCTGGGCCCCATTGAGGGACACAAAGGATGAATTTTTCATCATCTTGATGTGGAGGTCCACATGATACAAAATAATGGCTGCACAAGCCATGTTCGCACCAGGAGTGAGTGACTAACACTTCCTGATTTGTAGCACCTGTCAGTATCTGTAGTGTAAGTACTCCCATCAAGGCCAATGTCAAACTATCAACAAGACATCACTTAATACGAGGTTGGGAAGAAGACACGCAATAGCGCATTATTGTATAGTATTTCTACCATACAGATACAATAGATGGAAATAACCTCAGGAGCACAGGTACTAGTAAAATAATTAGGAAGTGGTGAACCTTATGTATATATTACCTTTGTCTTGAATATAGTGTATTTAACTATAAGTTTATATAATTTAATTTTTAGTAATGTCTGTAATACCAACTCACAAAATGCTGGACAATGTGGCAATCTGTTCTTGCGCACTGCTGAACCAGCTCCAGAACACCACTTTCCTGCCCTATTTGTGAGATCTGCCCTCGTCTCCAGCTGCCCGACCCCTTGGCATATAATCACAGCTGAGGCACGGCGGGCAAACTTTTCCCAAGTTACTTGGCCACGGTCACCAGTATCGCAGGACTCAAAAGCAACTGAGTATTGGATCACTCTGTAGCATGCTCAGTGAAGCCTTGCCTTGTGCATAGATACAGGGATGCTTAGGAATAGCACTTTAGAGAGATCTAAACAGCAATCATTCACTGTTGGTATTTGGCTTTGTTCCTTATCTGAAAGGATAAGGGAATAGGCTGGTTGAATGAAAGATATTTGTTTCACACATGGTAGTTTCTCTTTCTAATCAGTTCAGAAAATTGCAGGAACCCCTGACAATATGAACGCTCCGAAGTATTCAGATGGAAGTTGGAGCTCCGACCTTCCAGCTTGGGCCTGTACTGGGGCCACAAGGATGCACAGTGCTAAACGAATTCAGGAATCAGATCCACTCAAAACCATTCGTCTCAAAACAGTTCTGGAGATGGACAGTAGTGATGGTCGCACAACAATGTGAATGTGCTTAATGCCACAGAACTATACACTTAAAAATGGTTAAGATGGTAAATTTTATACTATGTATATTTTACAATTTTAAAAACATTCATCTTGGCCTGAACTGAACACTAATTGAGAAAGGTTTTGATTTCTTTGAGCACAGAAATATCAGCAGGCTGAGAACTAACTCGTTCTTCTCAAGAAGCACAGAGTAAGCCATTGCATGGACAGACCGTAGTTTTGTGAAGCAGGGATCCTTACAGACATAGAGGTTGTTACACTTTCTTGTTTTTGCTTCTCTTGGTTTTATTATTTACATCAAGCTTTTGAGAAACAGATTTACACACTGTGTTTGTCTTGAATTCCCCTGTTTTGCTACAGAAACTTATAATTTACCAAAAATTTACCCCTTCCCATTTTCCCAGCTGCTGGTTTAAAAATAAATATCCTGGATTTAAAACCAAATGTGCCTAACAGGTGCTGCCACCCAGCTGAGAGCTCCACTGCTCGCAGGCATTTGAGACACACCAGCAGCCAGCTGTTCTCACTGCCCTTCCTCTGCAGTCAACCATGTAAGCGTGCGTCATTCGATCTCTTAGGAGAATTGATGCCAAAAGTCTCCCCCACTTTTAGGGCAGTGAAACTATTCAGTATGATACTACAATGATGGATACGTTTCATCATACATATGCCCAAACCCAAAGAATGTACAATCAAGAGTGAACCTTGAGGTAAACTTATGGACTTTGGGTGACGATATACGTCAAAGTAGGTTCAATTCTAACAAACGCACCACTCAGGTGGGGGATGTTGATAATGAGGGAGGCAGGTGGGTAAATGGGAATTTTTGTACCTTCTACTCAATTTTGCTGTGAACCAAAACTGCTCTAAACAATAAAGTCTATTAAAAAAAAAGGTTCCTGCTTTTCCCCAATTCTAGTTCTTTAATAAACCACTATGTTTAATTCAAATGTTAAGAAGACAGACATCCAGAGAATACTTTCAAGTAAAAAAATTAATGAATCAAGTTGACATTTAGTTCACTGGCTGTTTTCTGTCAACCAGGTGTCCCTGCCTAGTCCACAGTTGACCAAGGATCCCTGCTCCTGCCTCCAGCAACACCTAATGCTGGAAGGAGTGAAGGAACTTAACAGTTGGCCACACTGATGTCAGACTGCTGGTGTTCGAATGTCCAGGCTGCCTTGCAAAGCCAGCCCGCGATTCAAATTCACTGGCCTTGTTGGAGCTGCAGGGTATTTCATATAATGGGAGGAGTGGAGGGTCACACAGGTACCAGGTAATAAACAAGATGACTCCTCTCCATGCAGACAGACATGTCCATAGTCACTTGCACAAACACTATTTCTACTCCAGCCTTCTGGACTCTCTGGAGTTTGCCTTTGTTTAAATGTTTCTATTTATCTGAAACAACCACAAATCATTTTTATAGATTACTCTAGTTTATTACATAAAGGAAACAAGGTTTAGGCACATATTCCAACAAGTTTAAATAAAGAGCTTGAAATAGAAAAGCTTTGTGACAAATTTCTACTCTTTATATAATGTATACCGTTTCTAGCACAGGAATAAATACGGCGAACAGGAGCCATTTTGTATAGTATGGATCAGCAACATTTCTCATCGATGATTACACAAATCATAAACAAAAAAACAAACAGAAAAAGCCATTTTCTTCAACTCAGTTATAAAAGCTAGATACCCTGTTGCCATACTGAAGCACTCTCCAAAGGCAGGGACAGACTTGTAGCCACACCTCTGAAAACAAGGGGACCAAGTCTTCCAATTCTTTAAGTTGTTTCTTGGTTAGAAGGTTCAACCATGGCATTACCTCTTTCAAGACACATAAAAAGCAGGTTAAGAAAAAAAGCAAGTTAACATCCTGTTCTATAAGGCACTTAATACATCTATATTGAAGAAGTATTATATTTTTGTCTTAAAACATGCTTATGTTTTATAGTGAGGTTTGAATTTCTTTTCATCTTGGTATGAACATGTACATATAATTTAAATAAACTGGTAATGATGAACATTGTCTGACATTCACTCTTTATACAGTCTTCAAGATGAACTTGCTTCTACCGTTTTAGAAATTACATGTACTCTTGAAAAAATTAAATGTTTTCTACATTTAAAAAAAAAGAGTGGTTCATAAAAAGCAATCCTTTAAATTCAAAGAACTCAAAAGTGAAAGCCTCTCTATAGAAAGTCCTTATCAGTGGAATGTTTTTTGTAAGAAGAAAGAATCTCTTAACGGGTGGTTCAGTGCCAGGAGCCATGCCTGAATGCGTTCAGGAGTCCTCTACTGCCATCTAGCGCCACCCAGGAGAGGTGGACTTGATTGATCTGAGTCTTTAAGCTGTTCGCACCTAACCCTTCTTTCTTCCTCTCTTTTCAATGACTTTGTCTTAGCTCTTACTTTTGCAAATAAAATTCTGCTGCACACAGGATACATTAATGAAGAAGGCAAGGTGAAAATGGCTTGAAGGAAAAATCGCCTGAGCGCCAAGAAAAACCTGCACTCCTTCTATTCTATCTCAACAAAGTAAAGAGCCCCAGGGGCTGGGCAAACTGGAAATACTGTAGAAGTGGTCTAGCCTGGAGCCCCAGTTAGTGTGTATTTAACGTCCTTCTCAAAGGGTAGAACTGAAGGAATCCAAGTAAACAGATTCCCTTTCCTGGGGCTGCCTTCCAGAAGCTTAAAGTTCTCCGGGCTCTCACAGTTACCTTTTGTTTTGAAAAGAACAGATGATGACAATAAAGAAGAGGGAGAATGATTTATCATGTCTTTAGAAGCAAAAAGAAAAACAGTATGTACCTCTTATCAGAATAGATAAACAAACAGATACACTACAGAAATCATTTTTAAAATTTCAAGCAGGTATTTTCCATCCAAACTAACTAGGAAGTCCAAGACAGGAAATATTTTAACAAATACGACATGAACTAAAGTAAAAACTGGAAATCTGGAAAAACCAACGCTTCCTCTTTAATTCACTAGCGACATTTTGCTAAAGAAAATGTATTAAATCCTTGAACAGTGTTCTTTCTTTAACACGGTCTTTAACAAAGGGCTTCACACGATTCCCACGAGAAACCCACAATACGACTCTCTTCTACACACACAGTTTATTGAGAAATTATAGCTATATGACAGCAGGATATAAACACACTTACCTTTCAAGTCACGTAGCAGCAACTACTATCTTTTCTTCACTTGACCCTTTACATCAATAGATGTTGTTATCTCCATCTTACAGAGTAGGAAATAAACTTTGCTAAAAATCATAGAGCTAGGCCAGGCACAGTGGCTCATGCCCGTAATCCAGCACTTTGGGAGGGTAAGGTGGGAGGATCGCATGAGCCCAGGAGTTAGAGACCAGCCTGAGCAACACGGTGAGACCCCATCTCTACAAAAAACCAGAAAAACTGGCCAGGTGTTTTGGCACGTGCCTGTAGTTCCAGCTACTCAGGAGGCTGAGGCAGGAGGATGGCTCAACCCAGGAATTTGAGGTTGCAGTGAGCTATGATGACACCATTGTACCCTAGCCTGATCAACAGAGCAAAACCTTGTCAAAAAAAAAAAAGAAAAAACCCAAAGAACAAAAAGCATGGGGCTGATAACTGATATTACCAAAGTCTGAAAACAAGCTGTTTGAAAATACTTCCCACCAGTACAGACCTTACAACCCTCAAAGCCAACACGTAACATCACCATGAATTTAGATATTGATACAGTGTA